CTACACCTGATGACGGGATGTCTCAGTAGCGCCACGCCCGCAAGAAAAAACAAAACCGTTTTTCTTCCACCCTAACCATAGCCTTTCACTTCTCCTGCCTGGCGCCTGAGAAAATACAACTAAGACGGCCATTAGAAAAGATAGAAATGGACTCAAAATGAAAATCAGGTGAGGGAAAACAGATACTGTAAATAATAACAAGGAGCGGAAGCATGGAATTACAGTCATGTTGTGTGATAAGAATTTCCTTTTCACTGTCAAGAGTCTCGCAAATTTCTGAATCCGAAAGTGGAGGTAGGAATCTTAGGTTTTCTGAGACTCTGGGGGGGTAAACTGTTTGCGCGGGTCGTAGCTTTGCTTCGTAGATTTGGGGGGAATCCAACACAGCATGAGTGGCAAAGCACAAAACTCTGCCCAGGTATGCAACTTGGTATGGCGCATAACTTTACTTAAGGTTCCTACGCTGTCGACATTCAAGACGCAAGGCGGGTCCCTTGATCCTCTGATTTGTTTGCGGCGCTGAACATGACATCCAAAACATGTTTAGCAGCTCCCAAGAGTGCCCAGGCTTTGAACATGTAAATGTCTGTACCCTGCCGCGAGCTGCGGGAACGCAGACTTCTTGATGCTGGAACGTGGCTTCATCATCCTCATCGTGTCCAGCACCCCCAGCTGAGGATGCTGAAAGCATCCTCGGAATTGCAAACCGCGCTGAATGCCGACTTCTTGCGCATCTTGCCAATGGGTTGGTATGAGCGAGCACAAAAGCATGGAGTCTGTAGGAAGGCACCCGCGTGCTCAGGCAGCGGGCTGCCATTACACCAACTGGTGATAATAAGTGACAACATGTGTTTCTTCCCCAGAGTTGCAAGCGGCGCCCAACGCAACAAGAGACAAAAGTTAACAAAAGAACGACGACGGTGAGTATGACGATGACCACGATCATAATAGTGATGATGAGTGCACCCCCAGCTTTCCAAGCGGCGCCGAGCGTGACATCCAAAATTCAATCACACATGGGTAGAAGAGATTGACGACGACGATGATGATAATGACATCCCCAAAATCTAGAAGTTCAAGAATAGAAGAGAACGATGCCGACGTTGATGACATTGATGCTGATTGCACCCCCAGCGTTGCACGCGGTGCCTAACGTGATACCCAACGTCTCTATCTACACATTGTATGTGTACAAGCCGAGAAGAGGATGATGGCGACAATGAGGATACTGATCATGACTGCATCCCAGCAGCGCGAGCGAGCGCTGCCAGAAGAGAAGGATGACGACGATGACGATGAGGATTGCGTCCCAAGCTTGCAAGCGGCGCCTAACGTGACATCCAAAATCTATCTATAGAAAAAGATTTGTGAGAGTGGAGAAAATAATGACGACGATGATGAGAATGGGGATTTCGGGAACACACATGGGAAGGTTCAGTGCCGGATGCCAGTTCAAAGCAGGAGGGACACGGATGTCTTAAATAGGCCAATATCATTCCGCTCAACTGCCGCATGCGACACGGGAGCTTTGTTTGAATCATTGGACGTTGCACCCCAGAAAACCTGGTTTCTAAAGCCCATTCGCCCACGCATTGCATCAGAGCAGGAGGCCTTTTCCCATGATAGTCTCCAAGCTGGCTCCGCTGGCTCCTTGCACTCCGGGCATGAGGGCGGAAGCAAGCAGCAAGGCGTTGATGCTTCCCCCGCCTGCACGTCACACCGCCAACGGAAGCTGATCGGGAAGCGGCGAAAAACTAGTTTTTTGGTCGGGAGCCTTCATATTTTCCATGGTTTTTGAAACCGGGTACTTAGTTCGCCAATTCGGCTTGATCGGTGTTCCCGAGTCAACAGACGTCAAGCCTTGTGCCACAGATTTCGGAGTTCAGAGAGACTCTCTTCTTCGTGCCTGCTTAAGGTCAATCAGTGCATCAATAGCATACAGAATGTGAGTTTGTTTACAAACAAGCAGCGTGCTTCGGAGTCGCTTCTTAGATTCTGGAAGCAACTCCTGGATTTGAACCCTCGCAACATGCCATGGTTCAGCCGGGCGGGCGATTTGCTGTTCACCATCCACTGGCTGCTGTTTCAGGCCGCGAGAGCGAGAAACGTGGAGCGAAGCTCGGACTGAGACTTCGCCCGACTCTGCTTGCTGCGGAGCTATCAGTCTGCCAGTTTCATCCCAGCACAGATTTCGGGGTTTCCTTTCAGAAGCGCCCGCCATGGGGCCTGCGTTTGAGAACAACACGCATCAGTGCACCATTCCCATGTCTCTATAACAAGGACCCCAAGAAAACCTTTAAACAAGGCAGTTAAACTCAAATACCAATCCCTGGAGAAAATGACCAGCACCTCCAAGGTGTTGTTCGGGGGATTGTTTTTTTGTTTTTCCCGAAGAGCTGAAAGCTTTGGGGTCTCAGCCCAGATAGGCTCCGGGGTGGCGGTAAGGTTCCACGAGGGTTGCGCCAGGGTTCCACCAGGGTTTTAGGTGCGATAGACAGAGCACCGCATGCTGTTGGGGAGATCACCTGAGCCTATGTTTATTGCTTTTTTGGTTTCTCGAAGTGTTTGCACGTCGCCTATTGTCCCCTCAATGTTTTCCGAGTAGCTATTTCGCGTTCTCTCCCAGCGTTCCATTATATAGCATTCCCGTACTATTCCCTGAGAATTCCATGAAAACCATCATGTTTCCTTGAGTATTTCCTCATCCTTGCCATATTCCTTTAGCATTCTCTTGCTCCTAGTGTTCTCTCAACACTCCCCAGTATTCCTTTCATATTCCCCAATACTCCCCTAGTATGTTCCGAATATTCACAATACTTCCCTAGTATTCCCTTAATATTCCATTGCCTTAGTATTCTCCATTCCTTTAGCAGTCTTTCACCCCTAGTAGTTGTTTTCTCCCAGTATTCCCCAAATATTGGCCTAGTAGTCCATAGTATTTTCTTGGAATACCCCTAGCATTCTCCCAATATTCCTCTAGTAACCCCTAGCATTCTTTCCCTAGTTATTTGCTACTCAGAAACTGGAGAGCAGATGCCGGATACCAGGAGAAGTACGAAGGGGAATGCTGGAGAATACTTGGGGGCTATTTGGAGAGTACTAGAGGCACACCCAGAAAATACTAAGGAATACTGAACAATATTAGGGGACTACTGGGGGAAAACAATTGTAGGGTAAGGGAATGCTAAAGAAACAGGGGAATACAACTAGGAGTAAGAGAATTCTAAAGGAATAGGGGCCTATTCGAGGAATAGTAAGGGGAATGCTAGGGGAATATTAAGGGAACACCAGTGAATACTATGAAAACACTAGGAGAATATAGACTACTTGAGGGCCGAAAACACTGAGGAAATACTAGAGGGTACACCAAGAGAATACTAGAGATTAGGCGTATACCAAGAAAATGCAAAAGGAATTAGGAGAACACCAGGAGAATACAGAGAAGATTATGAGGCAATATGCGTGGAATATTCGGGGGGTACCAGGAGAATACTAGGGGAATAATAAGGGGAATACTAGGGGTATATTAAGGGAGTACTAGGGAAGCACAAAGGGTGAATACTCGAAAAAACACTAGGGGAGTACTGAAAAATACTTAGGAATAGTCACTGGGGAACACTGAGGAGATACTAGAGGGTATAACAAGAGATAGCTAAAGGAACTTTCTGGGAATATTGAGGGGATGATAGGGGACATTAGGGGACGACTGGAAGAACACAGATTAGAAGGATAATGCTAGGGAATTTCCAAGAAAAATATTGGGGAACATTAGGGAATATTGAGCGAATATTAAGGGTATACAAAGATAATACCAAAGGCACACTGGGGTCATGCTAGGGACATCATTACTAGGAGGCTAATTATAAAAATACTGAGGGAATTCTGAGGATCTTTTCGGGGGATACTAAGGGAATAGCAATGGATTTTTTGGGGAACACTGATTGCCAGAAAGCGGGGGAGAGGAAGAATGCTTGCACTTCTCCAAAAATTACCAAAGACCACATGTTCGAGAAAAGGTGCATCCATCTATAAAAAAGGCTCATTTCAAAAACACAGGCCCCATGGCGGGCCGCTCTTTCCTTTTTGGCGAGATGGACTGTTGATCGGAGAGACGCCTTGTGCAGTGTGATGTTGTCCCTATGCTTGGAAATGCATCGCTCCAGTTTCTGGATTTGTTGCTAGGGTCGAATATACTTGGGGAGTAGCCCGTTACAAGCAAAGGTGTCGAACCCTAGTATCAGTCCGTTCGCAGCAACGCTTGATCCGATACCCAGCGAAAAGGGTGCTATCCGGTGCTCGGAACACGGAACATGTTGAGGACGAAGCGTAGGGGTTGGCTTCATCAAGAGCCAGTGGTTGTGGGACCTTCCCGTGCTTGTTGCGCAGATATCAGAGACACACTCCCTGCATTCATGGACTTCCATTTTTGGGGGAATGCCTCTTTAGGGGTGAACACAAGCCTTAGATTTTGCCAATCCACTCAGGAAGTGAGGAGAGAGGGAGTACCACAGGGAGAGACATCTCAGCTGGAGTTGAAAAACTAAATGTTGGAGCTCTAAAATGTTGAAGGCTACACGGCAGATGTCCCGAGGGCTGCTTCGACGATGCTTGTCGGAGTTTCTCGTCTCAGAACCTTACGCCAGTGCTTGTAGATAATTGAAGCCCAAATCAACAAGCCTTGTGGACGAGGAAGGGGCGCGTGCTCAATTTCCAAGAGTTTGATTTCCTACCATTTGGGCAGTTGTTTGGGCTTCCTCCTAGAAGGCAAAAGGGAAAACTCAATCAAAAGAGGACCTGCGACTTTGTTTCCCCCTTTTCCGGGGCTGGACACTTAGCGACGATTTTGCACACCTAGACCCGAACAAAACAACACTAGCCTATGTAGGGAAGTTGCAAATGTCGCAACATGGCGCCCTCAACCTCCCCTAAGGAGGATCATAGCCCCTAAGTGTCCACCATCCCCGCCTTGAGGGTGGGGGGGGGCAGCTTGGTCCGTGCAGGGCGTGCCCTGTTGACAAGTGCTCAAGGCGTGGGCTGAGTCGAGGCGTTGGGGCGATGGCAACCTTTGAGCCTTTGCGTCTTGTGATCTTTGGAACCTAGGGTGATTTTGGGGGTCTCCTGTTTTGTTTAAAGGGTAGACCAAATATGGGCCAGAATTATGTCTGAACTGTGTTTGTGTTTTTGCGTAGCCGAATTTGTGCCATGGATTGGTGTGCTTGAGATAGTTGTGCTGCTTGTGTCGTTTGCTTGGCTGAGTGCCGCGTTGGCCATCGAGGCATCCGGAAAGCACAAAACGAAACCAGATGCTCAATCGCAAACACTCCAAGTATCCAATATTTATCCACGTGTACCCTCCAAACGGGTCAAAAAATAGTATGTGTATATATATATATATATACACATTTATTTGTATATTACCTGACGGCTTCAGGTGGAGCTGTCTCAAAGAATTGTTCTGCGTTTGACACACCCAATTTGAGCGCCAATCAAAAACTTGGAGTGGAGATTGATGAAAAGCTGCTCAACCATAAACAGGCACAGAAGTCAACGCCCTTGGACTATGCCCAAAAAGCGGTGCTCTGGTTATTGTTGCCCCCGTGTTCTTGCATTGAAGTTGCTGGAAGATCCGCAATTGCAATCAGGGGGTCTGCCGGGTTTGCTGGTTGGTTCGAAGGGGACACCACTCCAAGGAGAACAAAATACAGGAAACCCCCCACAGGTCTGCCCTGATTCTCGTCTGTATCAAACCCATATACAAACTCCAGGGAGCGCTGAAGTTGTCTCGCCACTCGCCCAATCAAAGGGGCTGCGCACATACTTAAATGAGCGTGCCGTTTGTTTTGGAGTACCCTTCGAGCAACAAACGAAAGTGCTAAGGGCCGCTTTAGAAGACTGTTGTCCTTTCGAAAAGGGGCCGTTTGGTGTTGTTGATTTTTGAAGTGCCAGCGGGACTCACCCCTTTTTGCGGGCCTCAATTTGCAATAAACCCGAATGAGCTGAAATCATCACCCGGTATTAAATTGGTCTACCCAAGAGTATCCTGCAAATAAGGCAGATTGGCGCACCAAAGGAAAATTGGGGGACCCAATTTTGAGACATACCGAGCCAAGAGAGGCTGCTCCCCAGCCTCAAGCTTGGCCTCAAATGGGACTTTGTGTTTTTTTGGTTACGTGACAATTATCCTGCTCTACTTAGCATGGATGAAGCCCCGTGAACATTTGCTCCACAAAGAGTAAGACAACACGGGGCGTCCGAAAGTGAGATAAACACACCCCAGACAAGAAATGTTGAGTCTGATCTTTCTGGGCAAGGAGGCACCAACGAGGACCGCTTGTCGTGTGACTTTGCCATTTGCCCTACAAGCGATGTTTGTGATCTTACAACTCGCCGAAGTGTGTGGAAGCCTTTCTGCCACCCCAATCCCCAAACAAAGCAAACCTCAGCTCTTCTTGTTAAAGACATCCTTGGCGAGAAAGACCAATTTCAGCGGACATCCAACGGATCCCCAAATATGTGCAGGAGTTTCAAGGAGGCAATTGAGAGCACTTGCTTGAAAGTTTGTTGACTGCCAGCGCCGCTTTTCGTCTTGGGACTAGCCTGAGCTGACAGAAAAGCAGCAAAATTGGTCATGTCCTCCAGCAACTGGGATGAGGCCTTGCCGCCATCGTGCACATCTCTCATGTTCAAGCTTGGCCGCAAAACGACGCAGCAAGAGTTCCTTGTGCGTTTCAATGCGCTGTGTGGGTATGACTTCTCTAAGTATTGCCCATACAACTTCGTTCACCTCCCTTGGTCCACGCTGGCAATCGTGAACTTCGTGAACGAGGAGGAGTGTGCAGACTGCTGGGCTCGGAGCAAGAAGCTCACGGCGGCGGGAGAGATAAAGGGTGTACGACCAGCAACCCACCACGGCCTGGAGAGAAATTTGGTGGATTACCTCTCTCGAGCCAAAGGCAGCGATCAGATCACCACAAGGCCCCCCCTCGTGTTTGACCGGGGGAACTCGATCTCCTTGGCTCAGGCATGCCGCTGTCTTGGGCTAGGCGTGATGCACACCAAGGCATACAACTTTCATCAGATTCACTTAGACCTTCGTTCAATGTCTCAGACGTCGGTTTGGCACTACCTCGGGCAGATGCCGGGCACGCAGATTTTCGTTGACCTTTGAGCCGGCAAGTGACTTGGAACTTTTCGCTATACCCAGCACAGGCTTGGGAGCAAAGTCCAACCCTTCAAACCGCAGCTTGCGGTTTGCTTTTTTCGGCAGCAGCCTGTTCCGCGGTTCAAATTTCAAGCCTCAGGAAAAGCCTGGCTCGCAACCAGAAGTGCAAACTGGAAAGGCCGAGCAAGCGCAGTCTGAGAGTCATCCAAGATGTCGCAAGTTGTGCAACGTGTTTACTCACAACAGCGCTTGGATGGTTCTTCCAGTTGCCAGCAGGCATGGCGCACTTTGGTGAAACTGGACTCGCAATGTGATTCTGGCATCGGTTTTCTCTAAGGAGTGTTTCTCTGGACAGTTTTGCCACGCATCGCAACGGGATTTGTTGGTAGGTTGAGTCCAGTTCTAGGAGCGGCCTGGGCTGTTCAACGTCAACTGTCTTGAGCTAGGCTTGATGCGCAGCAAAGCGCCCAACTTCCATCAGATTCACTTAGACCTTCTTTCACCAGAGGGTTGGAGCTTTTCGCTATACCCAGCCCAGGCTCGGGGGCAAAGTCCAACCCTCCAAACCTCAGCTTGCATTTTGCTTTTTGTCGGCAGCAGCCTGTTCTGCGGCTCAAATATCAAGCTTCAGGAAAAGCCTGGCTCGCAGCCAGAAGTGCAAACTGGAAAGGTCGAGCAAGCGCAGTCTGAGAGTCATCCAAGATGTGGCAAGTTGTGCAACGTGTTTGCTCACAACAGCGCTTGGATGGTTTTTCCAGTTGCCAGCAGGCATGGCGCACTTTGGTGAAACTGGACTCGCAATGTGATTCTGGTATCGGTTTTCTCTAAGGAGTGTTTCTCTGGACAGTTCTGCCACGCATCGCAACGGGATTTGTTGGTAGGTTGAGTCCAGTTCTAGGAGCGGCCTGGGCTGTTCAACGTCAATTCTGGCTCAGGAATGCTACTGTCTTGGGCTAGGCTTGATGCGCACCAAAGCGCCCAACTTCCATCAGATTCACTTAGACCTTCTTTCACCAGAGGGTTGGAGCTTTTCGCTATACCCAGCCCAGGCTCGGGGGCAAAGTCCAACCCTTCAAACCGCAGCTTGCGTTTTGCATTTTTCGGCAGCAGCCTGTTCTGCGGTTCAATTATCAAGCTTCAGGAAAAGCCTGGTTCGCAACCAGAAGTGCGAACTGGAAAGGCCGAGCAAGCGCAGTCTGACAAGTCGTCCAAGATGTCGCAAGTTGTGCAACGTGTTTACTCACAACAGCGCTTGGATGGTTCTGCCAGTTGCCAGCAGGCATGGCGCACTTTGGTGAAACTGGACTCACCATGTGATTCTGGCATCGGTTTTCTCTAAGGAGTGTTTCTCTGGACAGTTCTGCCACGCATCGCAACGGGATTTGTTCATAGGTTGAGTCCAGTTCTTCCAGCGGCCTGGGTTGTTCAAAGTCAATCCTGGTGGTGCGTTCCCTTGGGGTGCTCACTGCGGATACGGATAGAGATCCGGGACCCCATGTTGAACAAACACAAACACATGCAAATTTGCGAGGTGACAAAGAGGATGCTGCTGACGTGTCACGTGGCAGGCGCCTGGAGGAGAGTTTGTTCTTGGAAACTTGTCCTGAATGAAATGTGATGAGGTGAGCATTGCTCCAGTCAAAGCTGCGGCCGAACAAGACGCGGGACGCGCCAATGCCCAAGAATACTGGCGATGCATTTTGCTGAGTCTTGAGCAAGAACCATCTACCCACATCTAACCACTGGCCCAAAACTCGCTCAAAGAAAGATGCCTGGCTTCTTTTTGGGAACGCGAAGAGGCGCATTTCATCTCTGCGGGTGATTTCCCGCACGGGGCGTGTGTCGCTGGCGCTATGTTGCTAGCCCTCCGCTTCCGTCGGGCTGTTCAGACCTTGCCGTCGCCGTAGTCTTCAGTGCAGTTGGCAGCCAGGGAGCTCGGAGGTTAGGTTGCCCTTGTTTGGACGCCGCCTGTTCACCAAAAGCATGATGAGTCTTGCAGATCTTTGGTCCCATCCAGCCAGACGATGTCCATCCAGCTTCTTTCTGGGGCCCATGTCATTGCGGGCTATGCTTTGGCAGCTGCAATTGGGCTGCATGTGCTCAAGTTCCTCATTGACTACTTTGGGACAACCCAGGTGGCATTACCCTGTTTTCTGACTTGGCGCTTTTTGGGACGGTTCTGCGCCGAACTCCCGGCCTGTGTCACACTCACTTGCATTGGTAGTTGACAAACGTGGTTGCCTGCAAGCTTCTCTGTAGTGAAAATGGCCACCTTTGGGTGCTAACCCTCTTCTCGTCACTGGATGTCTCACCTCACCTTTAGGCCCTGAGTGCTGCGAGGAGAGTTTCCATGCACCAACAAGTAGCTTCCGCAAATTTCCCACCAGCGCGTGAACATTCGGGAGACACACACGGGGGATTCCAGTTCCAAGTAGGGGGCCCGGATTTCTTAGATTTGCCAATGTTACCCTGCTCGACTGCGCACCACATGGGAGCTGCGTCCAGATCATGAGATGTTGCATCCCGGTGCACATGTTGCAGCAGGAGATGCCTTTTGTCTTTGGGCTGGCTTCTTTGAGACGCGGGCGGCAGCAAGCCGCGAGGCATTGATGCTATCAACTTTGTGTTTGTTCACAAATTCAATCAGAGTCGTTTCTTGAAGCCGACTCTTGGACGCGGCGTCCAACGTTTCAGCCGGGCAGGCGCGTTAATGTTCACCATCCACTGGCTGCGGCTTCAGGGCCGCGAGGCCGAGAAACGTCGAGCGAAGCTCGAACTGAGATCTTGCCCGAGTCAGCGAGCATTTCCGGACGAACTGCTCCACCGTTTCATCCCGGCAGAGATCTATGGGGGGTTCGTTTTTTG